GACTACTATTGTGTTTGTTCTACTACTACAATATTACTGTGTGCATATCTAAAAAAAAAAAAATTTCAAAAAATGCCATTTTTCAAGTGCCATTTTACAAAAATGCCACACTTTTGAAATTTTTACAAAAATGTCACTTTTTCAAAATTATTTTTCTGTATGTTATTTATGTTTGGGTTAATTATGTTCTATTAGGGTTTAGTTTTGAGTGTTTAGAGGGTTTTAGGTGTCAAAACATTTTTTAGGGTTTAGAATTTTAAGATATAGGCTTTATAAATCTATAATTAGTGGCATTTTTGTAAATGAACATCTCTAAATGGTATTCTTACAAATGTACACACAAAAAATGGTATTTTTGTAATTGTCCATTTAAAAAATCTATTTTTTAATAATTTTAAGTCAACTAAATAGTAATTTTAAAACGTCTTCCTGAGTTCCTTTCATAAACTTACATGTATTGAGATTGGATTTAGTAACCCGATATAGTATGTTCGTTTACGATGTTTTGTTTTTTTGTCATCAGATAGTGTGACCAGGATGGTTTTATTTTTATCCAATGGTGATAAAAGTTTTTTTTTTTTTTCTAAATAGTAAATATTTCATTAAAAATGAAAATGTTTTAGGTTTACAAAACAAGTTTATGAACCTATGAAATGGTTCCATGGCAAAAAAAGTAAAAACATGGAAGCATAATACATTATTGTTTTTAATTCGTCCGCTCGACACAAGCACGAGTGCTAATGGAGCTAGACGAAGTGATGACGTGTTTATTCTTCCATAATCAATCGAATGAGACGAAGTTGAAGATGTTTACCGCAAGACCGGCAATACTAAAACCCGCGTCACTAGAAGCCAGGGCCGGATCTGGGCATAGCCAGATGAAACATTCGCCTAGGGCCCCCATTTTTTAAAGGCCCCCAAATATTTTTTTTTTAAATATATATATACATAATATAAAGACAAAAAAATGTTTGATTTTCTATGTGGCCCAAATTTAAAAACGTGGCTATT